AAGTTTTCCCATTATCCATCCATTCTTTGTTACCCGAACGATTCCCATTCTTCTGCCCATTGCGGTACTTTCCAACGCGTTTCGTCTCCTGCTCGTTTCTAGAATTAATTTTCCTCACTTGCCGATAAGTTTTCGCGTCGTCGCCGCCGCTGCTGGACACGTCCGGAAACATCTGCGTGTTCAGAAAGTAGGAGGTCATAAGCGGCGATTTTCGCGGCTCGACGGAAGTGTCCCGCGGCTTCGCGCAGCTTATCACTCCGCAGTGTTCGCACAATTTCATCGTGGGGTCGTTCGAGAGGATCTGTTCCAGCTTCTCGTTGCTGCACTGCCGCATCGTAAGTTGCAACTTGGTTAGAATATCGCGAAAGGACGATTCTTCCAGCGAGTCGCAAATTTTGCAAACAGCGCCCAGCTCGATCAACGGGGCGAGATCTGTGTCCTTGCAGGCGTGATCGTCCAGAACTCTGTTTATCGATTTCTCCATGTCCGAATTACGCGCGTAACATCTCAAAAGCAAATCGATATCGAGCGGTTTGTCCGTGTTCCTAAGCGAATCCAGCTTCTGCTTGGAAGACGGAAAGCTTCTGATGTTCGACTTCAGGTTCGTGGAATGTGCGACATCTTTCTGCGTGCACGAGTTGTCGCTTTGAACGCACGAGTGAGAGACCTTCAGGCTGTCACATTCGTGAATTGTACTTAAAGTTTTTATGAAATATTCGGTTGTCGGAGCTTCCGCAAGAGGTTCGAGGATTCTTACTTCTATATACTTATTTTGATCCATCTCTGACGGACACGTTCGTTTCTTGCTGCTATAGGTTATAACGTGTTGCTGTTACTCTGTCTTTTTGATGCTTCACTTTCGCGTTATGATTGGTAATACAATCCATTTTACGACGCTCATTCTGTACGAACTTTATGAAAATTCGAGTAATGTGTATGAATTTTCCCTTACGGTGCTTGATAAACTTGGGGCGTTCATTTATCTTTCAATATTCTTATCTGGCTCAGTTCAACGTTGAGGTTACATCAGCAGTTCTTTTGCAAAGAGCAAATGAGCAATTAAAAAATTTCGTCGTAGCTTGACTCTATTGATAAATGATTAATGTACAATGACTTTTAAATATGTTTGTAATGTATATTGATCTCTAAATTTAATTAAGGATTTAACTGAAGGATCGTTTCATGAAGTGAGCGGACAACACCTTGGAAATAAATGTTCAGCATCTTCTGACATTTTCCAGAATACATTTTATATAAGTTCTAAGTTTAGGGTGTTGACAACCCGAATATACGAATTTCGTACTCAGTTCATAATTAAACTTATTATTAATCAATTTATCAAGTAAATACATTGATGAAAAAGGGAGCGAAGGTTGAAAAGAAAAATCGAAAGAAACGCGCTCGGTCAGCAAAATTCAAGTGCAAGCATGTTTGCCATGCGTATGGAAAATCTGACGATCGTTACGACCGACAGCTACGATTTCAGTTTCATGCCGAGTTGACAATGTCTCAAATTATGGTCGAAGCTTTTGCAAGAAGTTTAATCGATAAGATAATGTTGGAAGCTTTCGACGTGATTGGTACAAATGACGGTGAGCAATTATCGTCTCGCAGAGGCAGTATTTGATTAATCTCTTTTTTTAGAGGATTGACACGCGTATGATATTCTCTATTAATTTGCAAAATATTATTACATACGTCAGTAATTCAGATCTTTCTGATACTAAAAGGAATGTATTTAACTTGAGTATTATTCGCATAATTATCAACAAGGACATTATTCGAAATAATTGGCAATAATTAATTGAAAATTATTGGGAATAATGTTGTCAGAAAAGTTACAAATGCTGGATAATGAGGAAGAACGTGGTATCCAGTCGCAGAGCATTCGAACAGTACAGCAAATACAAAATCGTTTACGCACAGATTGCAACGAGTCAGGAACCACGGAAGCAATAGAAAAGATGGTGCTTGGTTTACGCAATCTGCAAATTGGAGATTCGACTTCCATGCCGTATCACCTATCCAAGTTAGAAAAACAGGTGAATATGAATAGTGTCATTGCTGGTGTCAAATGTGAAAAAAATCTTTACAATAAAAAAAGAAACTAAGAAGATAATTGTTCGTCTGAGTAATGTTTCCTAATGTAATTCGTTAAATAGGTCAAGCATGTGGTGCGTAATATCGACGGCGTTTCACACGTGGACCCGGCCGATTTTCTAGAAATGCACCGGACCCAGGGTGAAGGCGATGTGCATCAAATAGTGCACGATGCAGTTATCGAAACCATAGCGGAGCCGATGTCTACCGATGCGGGGAAGGAACTTGATAATTCTAACGAAGCGACTAGAGTATCTATCAGTCTGCTGCATCGAATGATCGAGGAACTTGAAACGAAAATGGAAGAACCCGACCAGAAGGAGGAGGCTGTTAGCAAAGGAAAGATCGAGATTTGGGAGGAAACGGAGGAACGATTCATAAGAACCATCGAAAGTATCGACGATCCTGATCATCAGAATAACATGGACCTCGTGAACGAGGACAACGTGTGTAATTTCGCGTACGAGGAGATCACATCTTCAACGCCTTTCATGAAAAATGTCTCGTTGGAGGAGGTAACGATCGAAGAGGTTACATCCTCGCCCATGTCCGATCGCGAGGACGTAACGTCCGGTAAATCGAAGAAGATGACCCACGACAGCGAAACGCAGTCGGAAGTGCCGAAGAGGAAGGGTATACTAAGTAGAACGCGGAAATTATTACGAACTATTTTTGGCCGTCGGAAGAAATGATTTCAACATTTCAGTTCAGCGTTCTTTCCTCGACGGCGTTATGGGACGATCGGTTTCGCAACGTTCAAGCGTCCGCTTGTGAACTTACTTCTTTCTTAAGGGGAAAACGCGCTCGCTGTCCGCGTCTCGAGCTGATAAAAATAACTGCCAAGTTTAGTCATCAGCTGGCCGCGCGTACAGCGTAATCTATGTACTCTTACGAAGCTGCACGAGACGTGAAATAAATTCCACGCGTTCCTACGAAACACCGTGGAGGAAATGATGTATGTTAAAAATTTTACATAATACAGTGACGTTTTTTTGGTAAACACACTAGAGTATTTTTGATTTATGGAACGATCGGCGTTATTAAGGGCACGACGAGCATACGAGATTGAAGGCCGTTCGGTGTGTATTTTCGTTTGTCCCGTGCAACCTGCGTTGCAGATCCGGCAATTCCGACACACAAACGGTATCACCGAAAACCATTTATCGTAGCAGGAAGCACAGCTTCTAACCCGCGTTGTCTCTCGAACTGTTTTTGGATCGCGGCGTTGCCGATACCCTCTTCGTCCGAACCGAGCTTTTCGCGTTGGACCTTCTTACGATTCTCGTGTGTCCTGACCACTGCGCCATCTACAGAAATAAAATGAATAAATTTAAACAGCCGATACCACTTCTGGTTCAGGCTCCACTCGATTAACATCTAGCAGTACCAGACACGCTACACAATGGTGAGCTCTTGATTTTCTCTTCTTAGCTTGCAATGAAAATTTCCTCCGTAATTCCGTCGTTCAGTTATAATTAATTCCTTCGTTTTTATGCTTTTAAACAATTATTTAATATATCCTCCTGTTACTTAGATGACCTCCTGGTCATTTAGATTAGCTTTTGCTGCTACTGCTACTATATTCTAAATCGTTAGGTTTATTTTTGAAATGTTTCACATTTTATTGCGTAATCTTTGTAAATCAACGGGATAATGAACATTCAATGGTATTCCTTTTGCATTACAGGCAGACCTCAGCGCAAGGGAAGTCGAAAGTGAGTAAAACGTATAGAAAGTATTTGGTTTGGGCATACGTGTCCGATCGTATCTGTGCAATGAGAATAGACAATATTTTAAAGAATAGCAGGGGATCAGCTATAAAATTACACATTTTGGAGCTAATAGTGAATTACCGAGTGCTATACTGCAAGCAGCATCACGTGTAACGCAATGGCAGGCAGAAGTGAAGGAAATTCTCCGCGAGAAATAATCGTGTTTACGGCGCAGTCTTGCGAGAATATGTAAAATATTACCTGTATTTAATATATAAAATATTCTCGCAGATTCAAGAACGTGAAGATTCTTTGTTGAACAAGCTAGGCGATAATCGATTTTCCAAACCTGTAAAATTCGCCCGAATTATTTCGTAATTATTGCGTCTGGCATTCTCCAAGTGTAAAATAGCAAAATGGTGACTCGCGCGAAAAAAATATTACGTAATCGTTAGTGTTCGGTAAAACAGAGGTGTAATCACACCGAACGGGAAGCGCTATTTCAAAAATAGTTAGTGCCGTGTTCTTATATGGCTTGGCGGGGGTAATCTGACCCACTACTTCCACCAGTAAGTTCTTGAAACGGTTGTTAGGTGGGGGCCGCTCGGTCTCAAAATAGAACAATATTTTTGAACCAAGTACGCACGAAGAGTCACGCTTCAACTGATATTAACCCAGATTTCACCTGGTATATACGTTCGTGATTTAAAATCGACATGGACATTTTTTTTTAAATTTACACTTAACTCTTGTCAACAATTTGTTGCTTTTAAACGAACCTGCCACTTTTTCTTTTTCTTTTTTTTTTTTTTTTCTCTTTAGATATGAAAAAATGTTAGATGTCGCGCAGCGCCGTCCAAATGAATTTCATATGATAAGCTTCTCTCCGTTTTCTTTCTTCTTTATTGAACAGAGGTAGAATTTGCCTTCTCCATTTATGATGCCGATGGCACGATGGTCGTTGATTGTGTTGACCTTGGCAACGTTCTCCGGGCTCTCAACTTGAATCCTACAAACGCCACCATAGAGAAACTTGGGGGAACGAAAAAGAAGGGCGAGAAGGTGATGAAACTCGACGAATTCTTGCCGATCTACAGCCAATGCAAAAAGGACAAGGAACAGGGATGTTACGAAGATTTCATGGAATGTTTAAAACTATACGATAAACAGGAGGATGGAACGATGCTTGGTGCTGAACTTTCACACATATTGCTTGCACTTGGTATTACAGTTATTCTACGTTTTATTATCGTTTAATTACTATTCATTATTATTTATTATTATTTATTAAGTTACTGTTCGCAGACAGTTTGAAATTTATACACATTTCTAACGATATCGAGGAGATTTTACCGCTCTAACAAACACAAGAGAATAACAAGATAACTTTAAATTAGTAATTTTGCGGTCAAAATTCTTTTCTACATATTTTTTGTGATCTTCTGTTAGGTGAGAAATTATCTGAGGCGGAAGTGGAAGAAGTGCTGAAAGATTGCCTGGACCCAGAAGACGAGGACGGTTTCATCCCTTATGCCCGTAAGTATCGATCCATTGCGAAGAAAAAAGAAACACACATGCATCTCGCGCAATGAAGGATGAAACGAGCTGCATCAGTGAGTCACATTAATGTAGAGCATCGCTAGATTAAAGAGGAGCAGCAGCGAGCGCAATGAAACATGCGTTTATTTGACAATACGTTTTACCA